GTGCTTCCGATGGAAGCAATCCAAGCCGTTGTGCCGGTGACGCTCCGCCGAAATCGGAGCCTCCGGCGTCAGCTGCAGGGGCCTCCGTCGGCTCCCGCCGGCTGGTCGCCGTTTGACACCGGCGCTTTCGCTTCCGCGCCTCGCTTCGCTGCCGCCTCTGGCATCGCCACTGCGGCCGCTGCTGGTGAGAAGACGACGGGCCCGCCCTTTGTCCCCGCCCCCGCGGCTGCCGCCAGCTCGGTGGAGGAGATGGACGTAAAGGAGGCGCCGCCGCCGCCGACGCGGGAGCCTCCGAGGGTGGACGCGGAGGAGGAGCGGCAGCTCGCGCTAGCCCTCTTCGCGACCTCCAAGCAGGACGGCGCGGCGCCTCCCGCTGAGGCGCCAGCGGCCGAGCCGGGTGCGCGCATCCCCCCCCCCCCCCAACCTCGCGCCAATCATCGCGCCACCCTCGTCCCACGCTTCGCTTTACCCCCCGCCATGCCCTCACTGTGCCGCGGCGCACACTGCACGCTTCTGACCTGTCCTGTCCCCTTCCCGCGCGCACAGCGGCCATCAGCCTTCCTGCGGCGGCTGAGAAGCCAGGCGCGCCCGTCGGATCGTCGTCGTTTGACACCGGCGCCGTCGCTTCCGCGCCTCGCAAAAGGAGGAGCAGTCACCCGTTTGCCGCCGTCGCTTCCAAGAAGGCGAAGGTGGGCGGCAAGGAGAAGGAGGAGGAGTCACCAGCGGCGCCAGCGGCCGTTGGCGGCATGGCGCAGGCGCTCGTGCCAGCGAAGAGCGAGTCGCACCGAGTGTGTTCTGCCTGGCATGCAACGCCTGGCGGTGCGTCGCACTCAACCGCGCTCGTTGTGGCTGGCGGGCCGCAGCCGAGCGGCCCCTCGTCTGAGAGCGGCTCGTTGGCCACGGCTGCTGTCGGCATTGCGCCGCCGCAGCAGCAGGCGCTCGTGCCAGTGGCGAGCGAGCCGTATCAGGTGTACTCCTGGAACATCGAGGCCGACGTCGTTGCGTTCGTTTTGCGCTGCCTCGGATTCGCATCCGACGAGCTGCCAGCGTTCGCCGCCCAAGGCGTAACCGGTATGGAGGGCCTCTCTCTCTTGCTCGCGCACGGCCAGCTGGAGCTCTCTCTCTTGCTCGCGCACGTCCATACCGGTTACGGCCAGCTGGAGCTTGGCCTGGAGGAGCTTGGCCTGGGGGCGCTGAAGCCTGGCCGCCGGAAGTCGCTGGGGAGATGGATCTCCGAGACGCGTCGCGAGTGCGAGGCGCTTGCGCCGACTCCCCCAGAGGATCCGGCGATGCAGCTCAAGAGGTTGCAGCTCACCGGCCTCCTGCGCGCAGCCAAGGAGACGCTCTTTGCCCACGGCTCCCTGCGCCACATCACGATCCCGTCCCCGATCGAGCCGCTCGAACAGGAGCCGCTCGTCGGCTTCGAGTTGCGCATCGAGGCTGACATCGAGGATGACGAGTCGACGCGGCAGCGTCTGGAGCGGGCGCTCAAGCGGATCGTTGGCCCTTCCGGCAAGGTGGAGCGGCAAGGATATGCATCGACGCGGGGGCCAGCCGCGTCCAACTTCGCGACGCCTTCGAAGCCCTCCGGCTTGTCAAAGCCGG